TATATATATATATATATATATATATATATATATATATATATATATATACACACACACATACAATTTTCTCAAACAACATTTATGTTGCCAGTTCTTTTTGTAAATGACCACATAATCATCAGGGAGCTTTATTTTGAAATTCACGAGACGGCGCGAGAGTAGTGCTGTGATGAACCTTCATTCATCATTTATCTAAAAGAAAAGTTCATTCAAATTTCAGAAAGGGGTGCAATTTATGCTGAGGCCAGCCTAATTTTTTATATCTTCCTGTAAGCATGTAAATAAATGGCCGCATACATATATTTCCAATGGGCAGTGGTTGCCTGACTTTCCCACAATAAAAACTTTGAGTTTCCATCATTTGATTATAAAGGACACAAACTGCTACATTCCATCCTTAAATTGCTACACCCAGAATTGTTCAAATCACACTGAGTTAGATGAGGGGACCCAGCCATCAAACACACACATGGAATGGGACTGATTTCATTGCATGATTCAGCACAAAAAGGACTGAAAGCTGTGTGCTGCATAAAGAAGGTATTTTACTTAACACGTGACTCTTCACAGCATATAGGAGGCCATGTATTAACACCAGGCACAGAGGTCTGAGCTACTGATTTCAATGCTGAGCCACAAATGATGGGAAATCAGCACATTTTTCATTTAATTTAAATTAATTTGTATGAAACAGTCACAAAAACACTGCACTGAAACTCATCATTTTAATGGTGAGGTAACAGCTTTAATGTGCAAAAATATCAGCAAACCTTAGAGGAAATTGAAAGACATACATGACCATTCATACATCTTCCAAACAGTACAGGGTAACAGGAAGGTTGGGCCCAAGGCAATGCAGGGGGATACCCTGGATGGGATGCCAGTCCATTACAGGTCAAGCACACTATGAGTAATTAAAACACCGAATCACTTCACCACATGTTTTTGGACTGTCTGTTATGAACCGGCATGGTGAACCGATGAAGGGACGGTCCATGTTGTGGCTCAAACAAAACAAGGGAATTAATTTTAAACAAAACAAAAGGAACCACTAGGAACTAGGAGTAATGGGACATGGGTGAGAGTAATTAATAACACTGCAGATTCAAATACTGGGAGATACTGGGAACACTGGCAAAACTGAACATAATAAAACCAGACACAAGCAGGGTAAAAAGGAACAAAGGTATCAAGCTGAGGGGAAACAGAATTAAAGGCACAAAAAACCTAAAACACCCAAAGAGGTGAAGCTGACCTTGAACCCATCACAGAGGGTTAATAAGTGAGCCTGCTCAGCCACACGGTGGTCCAGGTAACCCCAGAACACATTAGGAGCAAAAACCAAGTGGCACAAGTGTGGCAACTAGCTGGATAAACAGGCAAATGACAGACAAGCCCGGGACGGATCCTGACTGTCAAAAGGAAACTGCAGGTTATCGAAGGGAACATTATTAGCATTTCCCACTAGAGGGCAGACTAACATAATGAATTATTATTTCTACTGTTGCTCCTCCATCTTCAGACTGTAATTTGTTACATTGTCTAATGATTGCTGGGCTCTATGTGTGCGGACTTTGCATGTTCTCCCTGTGTGGTTAAGGGGGTTTCCTCTGTGTTCTCCAATTTCCCCCACAGTCCAATATTTTTTTCATATTGCCACATTTAGAAGTGTACATGGAATTTTTTATTTATTTAAACTAGTGTAGTGAAACATCAAGATGATTTTATGTGAATTTTTAAGTAGCTGTAGAAATATTTGACTCACCTTACTTATAATTAACATAAAATATAATTTATGTACAAAACTAACTGGGCTAAGCTTACAAATATATTACAAATTTTTCTGCAAATATAACACCTAAAAAATGTCTCAGGCCAGGTTTAACAGCTAAAATGATGTTACTCCAGAGGTCACTGTGCAATGTTTTCACTCTGTCCATGGCCCATACATATCAGTGCATCCATCTGCGCTGCTGTACAGATACACCTGGCTGAACTTTAGTCCCAGGCACACGACACAATGGTATTAACATACACGCTCTGTGTATCTTCACACAGTTACACCTGGCAGCGTTTCTGGTGCATGAAATGAGATGAACTATGGAGGATTAATGCTGGGGAGGGTTGTGGTGCTCAGCACTGCCTCCCGCCTCTGGGAGCAGCGTTAGTCTCCCCCATGGCTCCGTGTGTGGAGCTCGCATGCTGTCCCAGTGGCGCAGTGGGTTTTCCGTGTGTGGAGCTCGCATGCTGTCCCAGTGTCCCAGTGGGGTTTCCGTGTGTGGAGCTCGCATGCTGTCCCAGTGTCGCAGTGGGGTTTCCGTGTGTGGAGCTCGCATGCTGTCCCAGTGGCGCAGTGGGGTTTCCGTGTGTGGAGCTCGCATGCTGTCCCAGTGGCGCAGTGGGGTTTCCGTGTGTGGGGCTCGCATGCTGTCCCAGTGGCGCAGTGGGGTTTCCTCCTGGCACTATGTGCCCCCACCCCCCGAAGTCCAAAACTTACTAACGTTAAAACTGGAATTACCAAACTGCCCCAACGTGTGAATGTGCCCTGTGGTGGGTTGGCACCCCATCCTGGGTTGTTTGCTGCCTTGAGCCTGTAGCTTGTGGGATAGACACCCCCATGACCATGAATTAAAAGATGGGTTCAGAAAATGGATGGATGGATGGGTTACTGCTAATCCATCGCACACTTTGCACGTTCACAATGCTGCAGCAAAGCAGCAAAATAACTATTAAGCCAAATCATTTTTCTTTTTGAGAACCTCCAGTGCAAAAATGTGAAAAGCGTGATTCTCGTAGCCAGCAGAATATCTGCATTAACACCAAAGCTTCTCTCTCCATCTCTATGAGACTCTGATCTCCCTGTCATGAGAAGGTTTTAGATGTTTCTCCTTTGCTGGTGACACCTGGATCACCAGTCACAGTGCGGAGGCCTAGAAAAAAGGCTCCAGTCAAATAATGCGACACAAGGCACAAAGTGACACTGTCTCTAACAATAACCAGAGTCTTTGGTGTCTGTGAATTTAAAGAGTCATTTTGTGAGTCTTTAAATATTTGCTTGATAGAATAGTGGGTGGGTTGAGTAAGTGGCTAGAACATGAATTGCTACTATAATTGATTGTAAGATAGGAGTCTATGCACACCTCTGCAGACAAGCAGCTGTAGACAACACTCACCTGTAATCAGCATACAAATACATAATAGAGGAACTTTATTCATCTTTGTGGGCAAACTGGGGAGTTTTCACACATCTCATCCTGAGAGACATGTATATATACACATATATACACAGGGAAGGGCAAATTTTGGGGTCAGAACACAGAGGCGGCCAGCATCCCAAGAGCAGAGATTACTCAGCAAACCACAGGATTTGAACCCACAGCCTTCTGGACACAAACACAGAGCTTTAACCTGCGGATCTGCACACCATTCTATGTGTTGATCGTCATATATGTCTTCTTACCGGGGCTGGAGCCCAGGGACATCTGCTACAAAGGGGCCTCAAACAACCTAATTTAATAAAATTTAAAACCCAGAGTTGCCAGCCGTCCCGTATTTTCCAGTATCTTGTTGTATTGAAAAATAAAATGCTGGGTCCCGTTTTGAAGCAATATGAGATGTGGTCTGTCTCGAATTTTCGTACCCAACTGCCTTCTGGTCGAGGGCATCACCTACCCCGAGTCCCATGATGGACTGGCATCTGGTCAAGGGCGTCACCTACCCAGTGCCCCATGATGGACTGGCATATGTGAGATATGTATCTCGTTATAATGCGAAACAGGGCAAAAAAAATTTTTATCCATATTGTCTCAGAAGAGACAATATGGATCAAAAATATAATTTGGACTGGGTTCCGAGTACAGTGTTTTAATTTGTTCTTAGTTAATCTACTAAAATTATCAAAATNTGATTGAATGCATATTGTGTCAAAGCAATGCAAACGTATACATAGTTTAGCTCACATGGTCCAATGGTATGGTGCATGTGTTAAGTGTTGTATAAAAGTGGACATGGTAATGAGACACGCGTTAAAATGATTGGAAAAAACTGTAATTTGTGTGAAACAGTCATAAAACACTGCACTGAAACTCATCATTTTATTGGTGAGGTACCAGCTTTAATGTGCAAAAAGATCAGCAAATCGTAGAGGAGATTGAAACACATACATGACCATTCATACATGTTCCAAACAGTACAGGTTAACAGGAAGGCTGGGCCAATGGCAATGCAGGGGATACTCTGGATGGGATGGCAGTCCATTACAGGTCATGAACACTATGATTAATTAAAACACCGAATCACTGCACCATGTGTTTTTGGTGTTACGAGCAGGCATGGTGAAAAGACAAAGGGACGATTCACATTGCGGCTCAAACAAAACAAGGGACACAAGAAACAATTGGAATCAGGGGGGTTTAAACATAGGCAGGTAGACCTAAGGAACTAAAACAGAGAACAACATAGAAACAAACACAGCAGCACAGAGACAAACACAGGAACAACTATCCAGAACAACTACAATGAGTGACTGGGGAAGAGACTATGGGCGGAACCTAAATACACATGATAATGAATATAAATCAAGGGACAAGTGTGATCCATAGATATTACGGAGCAGACGATTGGGGCAGGACACATTGTTTTTTTTTTTAACTTTACACATTGTTTGGATACATTTATTTTCTTACTTTACAAATTAATGTTTGATAAATGTGCTTAGATGTGTTTAGTACAGTATATGCTCGTCTTGTTTTATCCGATTCATTTTGCGTTTAAATGCTAAAAAAAAACATATTTAGGTGTAATTTTTTTGGGGCCGGGAACCAATTAATTGGTTTTTCATTATTTCTTATGGGGAAAATTCGATCACAACTCAAACTTTTTCTGAACGGATTAAATTCGAGTTCTGAGGTACCACTGTATTTCTTTTCCGTTTTCGTTTTACAGCCTGGCACTCACCAGGCTGTTATTGTAAATACTAAATTGTCCTTAATGCTTTAAAATAAAAGCCAAATAAATAAATAAATAAAACAACAAACAAATAAGTTGATGAAATTGTATGCATCTGTAACACTTCTGGCCTTATAGTAGGTCCACTTCTCAGTGCTACTGGGCAGTCTAGGCTTGATGGGGGTGGTGGGAGAAGAGACAATATGGATCAAAAATATAATTTGGACTGGGTTCCGAGTACAGTGTTTTAATCAGTTTGTTCCTAGTTAATCTACTAGAATTATCAAAATTTAGTTCAGTTAGTTTACCTAATTTGCATTTTGCAATAGACAGCTTCAACACAATATGTAATAGATTTCCCTGCATTTTGTAATAAATTATTACATTTTGTGGTGGTTTTTATAAAATGCAGAAGTTGCTCTTTTTTTAATTGAATTTGAATTTAGTGATCAGTGGTCATTGTTGACACACCACAGCACACAGTGCACAACAACAGAATGTGTCCTCTGCATTGTGCTTGGGGGTGGTACCTTGCTCAGGGTACCTTAGTGGTGTCTTGCTGGTCGGGGATTTGAACCTGCATTCTTTCAATTACAAGTGAAAATGTAATACTGTGCATTTTGTAATAAACAAGCAAGATGGATGTTATTACATATCGCATTGTAATAGGGTTCCTGATTAACTTCTCCCAGGACTTTTATTAAGAATGGAAGAATAACTTGGTAGCAATTAACCAGTACATCAAAAGAAATATGCCCTACATCATGCAGCTGGTATCAGAAGACTTTCTGCGGATGTATAGACTATATGGAACCTTGTGGTATGCTGGTATCTAAACAGTTAACACTGAAAATTCAGCTGTTATTTGGTGTTGTATAATGTTTTACTATGCAGCGATATGGACGATGAAACTGTCTAAAGTTCAGCTGAGATCATTCCATGCCAACAAATGTAAATACTGTCGCCCTGGATTAAGTTGTAGTAGTAACTAACAGCATTTTAATAGAATGGCAGTTGTTTTTGGGTTGTCTGCCCTTGGAATTACTGCTGCAACAATTTTTGTTGTTCTTCTAATTTTCCTCATATGCCAGCCTATTAGAGAATATATATTGAAATGGATTGAAATGAAACCCATACCTGGATTGGAAGGTGCTTACCCAATCGTGGGAAATGCACTTAATTTCAAGTCAAATGCTGCAGGTAAGAGTTATTTAAAGACTAATTTGATGTAATATTTTAGGTGAGCATTGATGTGAACATGCACATGTGGCATGTCACCTCTCAAAATCTGCAGGTATTTGTTTGAGGCATGTGAAAAACTTAGCAAGTGTCTTTTAGATACTGTGCAGTGATCATTTTTATTATTTTATTTATTTTTTTTAGACTTCTTCTGTCAGGTGATTGAAGGGACAGATAAATTCAGACATTTACCACTACTGAAGATCTGGGTAGGACCCATGCCTTTCATTGCCTTGTACCATGCAGAGACAGTTGAGGTAAGTGAGTGAGTAGACATGAGTACAGCATGTCTACTCTTGTAGCTCTTTAGAGTGGAAGGGTGTTACGACCAGTAGAAACCAGTATAATTTTCACCCAAGCAAAACTCCAGAGTATTAATATTCTGGTGTTTAATGCCACCATTAAACTTACTGCTCTCTTGCTCACTGGGGGCTTTGGGGAGGGATAATGTAAAGCACTTTGGGACATTGTAATGTTGTGAAAATGTGCTATACAAATAAAACTGAATTGAACTGAACTGTCAATTCAGTGTTCAGGAAATATAGTGCACATTTCCTGCCATTAATTTAACTTAGTATTCCAGATTTAAATGTAGCATCAATGCTTAACTGAGCTCTTTATAGGGCTATTTTTTTCTCAGTTGGTATTGAACAACCCCAGGCATATGGACAAATCCTACAGCTACAGGTTCCTACACCCTTGGCTTGGCACTGGTTTGCTTACCAGGTTTGTTGTACTTTTCATACCATTGAAACAACAATATACCATTGAAACAACAATATACCATTGAAACAAGTCACCATAAAAAAGAATTTGTGTAAGTAAGAGTAAACCTTTCTTCATCTGGTGAGCATGAGTTACACTCTGTCAGGTACAGCCACCTTAAGTAACATGATTTCCATAAAAACTTCATTCCACCACAATCAGTCGTTTCACGTTATAAACCGTTTTCCCAAACATTCCCTATAGCATGTCAGCATGTTCCCAGTTAATGTCTGGTAGTAACACTAAAAGGTACAAATGAGAGAGAAGAACCTCCAAGGTCCAGGTCTAAGCAAGTTAGCTGAAGTCTTCACCACTCAAAAGATAGACTTGTCTCCTGCTGCAATGTGTGTTCTGTAGTATAGATACTTAGGCAACGCTTTTTAGAAAAGTATTTCTGAAAAGTTAAATATGCATAAATTTATGTTTGGCAACGTTAGGGCAGAGTAGGGCCTTCAGCCCCAATTCTTCCGGGGGCACTGTCTGTTCTTGCTCTCTGATCCTCACTTGTACATCGCTTTTATGTTTGCTAAAGTAATCGGCTGAACCAACACGACTAAGGCTTATCATGTCCCCTTCATGCAGCACCGGTGAGAAATGGCGTCGGCGTCGGAAGATGCTGACACCCACCTTTCACTTCTCCATCCTGGCCGAGTTTCTCGAGGTGATGAACGAACAGGCAGAAATCTTAATTAAAAAACTGGAGAAGCATGCTGGTCAAGGGCCTTTTGACTGCTTTCGCTTCATCACTCTCTGTGCACTCGACATCATATGTGGTGAGTATTTGTCATAAATTACCTGCCGTTTAAGCAAACTTTCATAAATGTGGAAGACATAGCTTTAGAAAGAATAAAGTGTGACATTCAGATACAGACACAAACAATTTCAAATGACACTTGATTATATGTCAATAACAGGGAACATTATAATACTTTGAGGAGCATCTAAGCAGAATGACTACAGGAACACATCAGTAAGTCAACAAAAAGATACTTATTTTTACTTATTTTATGTTTTTTTTCCAGAAACTGCAATGGGTAAGAAAATAGATGCACAGCATAACTCTGACTCTGAATATGTCCAAAGTGTGTACAAGTAAGTGATATTTTAAAGAAACAGATAATGACCTTGCAGTAAGCTGGTGTCTGGGCTCTGCATCTGTGGAGCTTGCATGTTCTCCCCCTGTGTGGGTTCCGCTCTGCATCTGTGGAGGTTGCATGTTCTCCCTCTGTGTGGGTTCCGCTCGGCATCTGTGGAGGTTCCATGTTCTCCCTCTGTGTGGGTTCCGCTCTGAATCTGTGGAGGTTCCATGTTCTCTGTCTGTGTGGGTTCCGCTCTGCATCTTTGGAGGTTCCATGTTCTCCCTCTGTGTGGGTTCTGCTCTGCATCTGTGGAGCTTGCATGTTCTCCCTCTGTGTGGGTTCCGCTCTGCATCTGTGGAGGTTGCATGTTCTCCCTATGTGTGGGTTCCGCTCTGCATCTGTGGAGGTTCCATGTTCTCCCTCTGTGTGGGTTCTGCTCTGCATCTGTGGAGGTTGCATGTTCTCCCTCTGTTTGGGTTCCGCTCTGCATCTGTGGAGGTTGCATGTTCTCCCTCTGTGTGGGTTCCGCTCTGCATCTGTGGAGGTTGCATGTCCTCACAATCCACAGACATGTACTTAGGTGAGCTGGTGACTTTACATTGCCCTCCATGAGAATCTATAGCCTTCTGGTAGACTAGCATTCTATTTAAAGAGGCCAGTTCCTTATGTTTCCAGGTATAGGCTCCAGGGCTGAAGATCGATGTATAGAATATTACCTTAACTACAAACTCATAACATGGATTTTTCTGCATTTTAAAGTAACAACATTGATTTGAGTAATACAATAACAGAACAGTTACCCATTAAATATGTAGGTTATGGTTCGAATTCAGTATTTTTCCTGTACATTCCATTTTCCTAACACTGTTTAATACAGTGGATAATACTGTATAAGCTAGGGGTGGACTGCATACATTTCCACTGTATACATTTCCACTCCACTATGGTATGATTCTGAACTTGGTTCAATGCTTGTTTGCTTGTTTATTTGCTTGTTTGTTTGTTAATATTCCTCGATCTGCCTGATGCACACATGTGTATGAACACACACACACACAAACACACAAACACACACACAAGCACACGAACAGACACAAACAGGCACACGCTGACAGAGCTACATCAGGAACATCAATATGCTATTTTGTGGGGGTGTGGTGGGGTGGGGAGGCTGTTAAAGGAGGTCTATCTTGTTCATTTTCACTGTTCATAATTATTTTTTTGTGGTCTACTAGAATAGTTTTACATGTCTCAGAGTTCTAAAAACACATATTTTTCTCATACAGAACATCGCTATACATCCTTAGTCTGAAATGCCCTGTTAGACCTTTAAGCCACACCCCTGATGAGCCCAGTGTGCTCTGATTGGTCATCTTGCCTCACACATTCTGCCCCTGTCTTACAGTCTGTAGGCAGATGCTTTATAGATAGGCAGCAAATGAGAACTGTGTTCAGTGTGACAGTGTGTGTCACAGAAGTAAGGGCTGGAATTCCAACAAGGTGTTTCAGGCAGATTAGAGAAGAGTAGTGTCTGTGGTCAGAGTTATTCCCTTTGGCGTGTACTTTGGGCTTTAAAATGTCACAGACCATTTACTTGCACATAAATAATCAATAGGGTGTATTTCCCACAAAGCATCAACACATCTTCTCACAGCATTAAGATCTGCGGTGCCTCTTGGTGCTACATAATCGTATAAGCAATGCCTCCTAATGTCTTACATTCTTTATACATCATTCATAAAAGACTATTCTTTTGAAGGATGAGTGACATCATAACTCGTAGACAGAGAGCACCTTGGTTTTGGCCGGATTTTATCTACAATTTGCTTGGGGAGGGAAAGGAACACACAAAGAGACTGAAAATTCTCCACTCATTCACTGAAAGTGTAAGTAATCCGCACGCCGTCCACGATAGAACAGTGAAAAGGCGTCTTGCAAGCCAGCTTAATGCTGTGAAATATTAGGGCGACATCTGATTCATAGGCTCAAGAGAAAACAAGTCAGGGAAATAAATTATTTATTGTGCAGGTAATTCGAGAGAGAACGGAGCATACTGACAATACAGAATCTGACGGTGAATCTGATCGAGGTACAAAGAAACGAAGGGCCTTCTTGGATATGCTTCTGCGAGCCACTGATGAGGATGGAAACTACCTGAGTCAAAGCGATATCAAAGAGGAGGTGGACACTTTCATGTTTGAGGTATAAAAGTCATGAAATGCACTAAACAGAAAAATTACCTCATTAGGCAAGTGTTTATATTTAATGACGTTTAAAATATACACCTGTGTGTGTGGGAGATAGTGTGTGACAATGAATGCTGGTAAAATTTGGTGTGCATGCTCATTATTATTGGTTTTGGTTTGATGTTCTGTGTCAGGGTCATGACACTACAGCCGCATCCATGAACTGGGCTCTTCACTTATTGGGCTCTCATCAAGAGATTCAGAGGAAAGTCCTGCAGGAGCTCACAGAAGTGTTTGGTAACTGTGACAATTAATGTTTATAATGCAGTGCACTCTAATACTGTGATCTGATGAAAGCAATCCATTGGCACGAACAGTTTGTCACTTTGCTGATTCATGTTGAATTATTATTATATGTGCAACATTTTGAGTAGTCCAGGCTGTCTATGTGCAGCCTCTAAATTGTTACGGTTGTATATTGTCCTGCATTCCTCAGGTGCATCACAGAGGACAGTCAACACAGACGACCTGAGGAAGTTACGCTATCTGGAGTGTGTAATCAAGGAGTCCCTGCGTCTCTTTCCCTCCGTGCCCTTGTTTGCACGCAACATATGCGAAGAATGTCAGATCAGTATGTGCCAACTGACTGTGAGACTGTTGATGAGAAATGTTACATGAGTCAGATCACAGAGATGCTCAGCATTTTGAAGTTCTAAATTGCTTAAAGATGTCTTTTTCTCAACACGAGTAAATAACTGCAGTACAACTAAAGTAGAATGTATCATGTATTTTGGGGGTCTCCTTCATGCATTATGTACATTATAAAATGTTATTTCCAAATTCCGCCTGGGTTGATGTGGCTGGATTAGTCTTTATTCTGAGTGATGTCCACGCTTTCCCAGGGTTTTTCTTTATATACTGTTGCCTGTCTATTGTTTTGATTGACTTTTTAACCAATATCTTTGTGTAGATGGCTTCAAGGTGCCCAAAGGAGTGAATGCCATCATCATACCATATGCATTGCACCGTGATCCCCGATATTTCCCTGATCCTGAAGAGTTCCGCCCAGAACGCTTCCTGCCTGAACATTCTGCTGGCCGACATCCCTATGCTTTCATTCCCTTCTCCGCAGGTTTGAGAAACTGTATAGGTGTGTAAAATTTATATTAGTCTGCTTTCAGTTCTAACATCTTTAAAGCATTTGAGACTAACACAAGTACTCCATTTAGATTTAACAGCACTGCACATTTTGGCTCACAAAACAAGCAACTTAATGATGAAAAAGACCCAACAGAGGCTGAGATGGGTGTCATCCTAGTTTTGTAATAATGATTTTGAGAGTATTTAGTATCTAGAATGGATTATTCAATTAGTATCTGATATAGAGACACATGAGAAAGTGTCTAATTAGCGTCAGAATCCTTTTTATTAGCCAAGTATGTTTCCATAAAAGAAATTTGCCTTGGTGGTGCTTTTACAAGACGTTACAAAGAACATTCAATGTTTAGCACGGCATGGGTAGTATAACAATTATATGATAATGTGTATTGTTTTGATTGACTTTTTAAACAGTGTCTTTGTGTAGATGGCTTCAAGGTGCCCAAATGAGTGAATGTGATTATAAGTTTAATAGGAATTGCTGCCTTAAGCAGAGAGAGATATAAACACATCATTAGGTCATTTGCATGAACCACTCTAGCATCTGAGCATTATTTATGGTCATCCATGAACTGCACAACTCATTACAGTATCTTTTTACATAGTAATAGTTCTGGGTCATTTTTAACCACATTAGCAACTGAATTTAGCATACACTATCTTGCCAAAAGTATTGGGACACCTGTCTTTACACACACACAAACTTTAATGACATCCCATTCTTAATACATAGGCTTTAATATAGAGTTGGCCCACCCTTTGCATCTATAACAGATTCAACTCTTCTGGGATGGCTGTCCACAAGGTTTAGGAGTGTGTTTATGGGTATTTTTTACTATTCTACCAGGGGAGCATTTGTGAGGTCAGGCATTAATGTTGCACGAGAAGGCCGGGCTCGCAGTCTCCTCTCTAATTAATCCCAAAGGTGCTCTATCGAGTTGAGGTCAGGGGCCAAGCTTAACCCCTGAAAAACATCCCCACACCATAAGCCCCCCCCCACCAAAATTTACACTTGGTACAAAGCAGTCAGACAAGTACTGTTCTCCTGGCAACCATCAAACACAGACTCGGATTGCGACAGAGAAGCATGATTCCACTGCACGTGGAAGCACGTGTCCACTGCTCTGGAGTGGCGTGCTTTACACTACTGCATCTGACACTTTGCAGTGCACTTTGTGATGTAAGGCTTGGATGCAGCTGCTTAGCCATGGAAACTCATTCCATGAAGTTCTCGACACACTGTTCTTGAGCTAATCTGAAGGCCACATGAAGTTTGGAGGTCTGTAGCTATTGACTATGCAGACAGTTGGCGACTTCTGAACACTGTGTGCCTCAGCATGCGTTGTCCCCTCTCTCTGATTTTACGTGGCCTACAACTTCGTGGCTGAGTTGCTGTTGTTCCCAGTTGCTTCCTCTTTGTTATAATACCACTTACAGTTGACTCTGGAATATTTAGTGGCAAAGAAATTTCACAAATGGATTTATTGCACAGGTGGCATCCTATCAAGTATCAAGGTACCACGCTTGAATTTACTGAGCTCCTGAGAGAGACCCATTCTTTCGCAGATGTTTGTAGAAGCAGTCTGCATGCCTAGGTGCTTGATTTTATACACCTGTGGCTATGGAAATGATTGGAACACCTGAATTCAATGATTTGCAGGGGTCTCCCAATATAGTGTATGAAAGCAAATTGCAATAATCTGTACTTGTGCATCGCGCAGGTCAACGCTTTGCCATGATGGAGGAGAAAGTCATTCTGGCATGGGTACTGCGGAACTTCCACGTGGAGTCCTTTCAGAAGCGAGAGGACCTGCGACCATTAGGAGACCTGATTCTAAGGCCCGAGCAGGGCATCTGGATCAGACTACAGAAAAGGGTTCATTAGACCCAGCTAGATGGGTCTTAAACCTTGCTTTTGATATGATGTATAGTGTATAATCTTAAATAATTTTCAAATCAGTTTTCTCACCATTATCTTTCTTAGCAAATGTGCTATTTTCAATCAAGTTCTTTCATATGTGTGATTCCCCAGTAGTGGAATGAGCTGCCAAACCACATCTGGTCATCAGAGTCCCACTCAACCTTCAAGAAATGCCTTCAGCCTTATTTGTTCCTGGAATCCCTCTACTGGACTGATACCTCTCTGTGTTCCCTGAATGCTTTTAATGGTGTCCTTCATGATCATTTGATAGTTTTATTTGATTCTTGCTTTGTTAGTAAATGTTGTGTAGGTCCTGCTCCAATACTGCTGACACTTGTAACTGCACATTATTTGGAAGCTCAGTCTAGCTGCATTTTTACCTGAAATATGACAAGACATATGGTAGCATTGTTATAATTGTCTCACATGTATGTTGCTTTGGACAAAAGTGTCTGGTAAAAACATTTAAGTGGGAAATTCATTCCTCCTCATTCATTGGCCATTGCATGAAAATGTTATTTAAATCAGGGAATTGTGAATGCTGACAATTAGATAAAATAAATTCCATCCAAATAAGTTTAATGAGAGTATTTTCATCAAAGTGTGATAAATGACAACTGACTCTTGGCTACCATGTAAATGGCATTCTTCTTGAATGTCCAGTCGTCTGTCTGGTTCTCCAGATTTCCCAGTGACATGTTCCTTGTTGTGCTGACTATGCCCCCCCCCCTTTTTAATTTAATCTTTTCCAAACACCTTCTGCACTGTGGCTCTTATTATTTACTTGGGCTTTGCATGAAAGTTCAGGCTCGATTTGACCATGAATCCACTTGATTTTTTATCTTACAGTCTTGCAAAATCATGTCCAGCACCAAACTTCAAAGATGTCAGTAGTCTTCCTGTCCTGCATCTTCATTGTTCAGTTTTTACAATCATAAAGAGTCACAGAAAATACTGCACTCTTACACTTTTATCCAGGGGAAGCCCTACGAGGAAGCTGAAGCTGCAGACCACATAACTTAATCATTAAAGCGCATGAACCACACTTAGGGGCTCAGCTAGAATTTCTAGGCTCCCTGACAAAATGTCACCTTGGACCCTCACCCAATTTTATGTATAATATTATGTACCCAAAGGCCACTATACAGTGCTGGGCATCCTAAATCTGCCAAGGTATCCATGCCCCTACTGCGCCCTTGACATAATTCTTGTAGGGAAAACTGAAAGGCAGATGGTTGTGAGGCATGAGGTTAATCCAAAAGATGCTCTAATAGTCCAAGAGGTCATGTTACGATAAACAGGTGAGGTGATAGTAGCATTGTGTCGGTGTAGCCTAGTGCTACTTCCCTGATCACTAGGCAGTCAGGACTGTCATGCTTCTGCTGTGTTATAGGTTTCTATGGAAAGCTGAAGTCGGTCTACTCATGGTATCCTTCTAGAGCTCAGTAGACCCTGAGTAAGGTCTGTAGTACATTTTGATGTTCACTGTCATGTAACGGTAAAACAGTGACAAACAGGCAAAGAGAAATCCCAGAGACAAGGCAGTCATGGTCTATAAAAATACATGGTATCTGAGTAAAACTAACATTTTTAACATTTATTTTACAGAACTGGTCCCCTGTATAAGAGGTGAGAGATATTTAAATATTTTACTCAACAGCAGGTCAGGCAAGCTGAGCCTGTAGACCTTCTGGACGTTGTATACAAGATCAGAACTTGCGGCACATGTCCATCAGTACCAGCGGATGTCACAGTACATAGTGCCCAGTGGCCCCCAAATCCCTCTCCCCACTCAACTCGGACAGGTCATGTAGATGTGAGGTCTGCAGTTTACAAAGGTGAGCAGGGACATTGTGAGGCTGACTAATAGTGAGGGGGATGCTGGTTGTTCCGTGTAAACAAAACACATAATATTGTTACACAATTGGGTCTATTAGAAATTTTTTGCTGAGCCTGAAAAAGAATTACAATTTCTACAGGAATACTAGTCAGAGGTCGCATAGATGTGTTTACTGTTGCAGACCCATATATCACCATGTAATCCATTATAATTTGAATCCATGTGAGAGCCTTGTGGTCAGTCTCAGTCTGGATCAAACTCTCTACCTGAGAGATAGCACTTTAGACTTACAAGGCCTGACTTGTCCTCCTTTCTGTAGGTACCCCTATTATGTACTACTCCCTTAAGCTATTCACACTTTGACATTGAGGGTCAGTCATGCTTGATTACCATCCTTCAGAACACTCTCCAGGTTGTGCAGGTAGTCCTCCCTGGTGCTATTATAGATCAACATGTCATCTAGGCAAACCTCATGGCCATGTAGCAACTCATCCATGAGGCATAGCATGTGCCATGCAACTCAGAAGGCATTACAATTAATTGGAATAACCCCAGTGATTTTTATAAGCAGTAAAGGCTCCAGATGTTTTCCTAAAGGGTCCAGCTAATAAAATTTATAGAGGCCTAATATAGTGATAAAATGTGTAGAGCCGATCCTTTCTAGTAGGTCATAGAGTGCAGTGGTCCTGAAGTTTCTGAAAGTTGATCTTTTGTTTAAAGCAGCATTCAGGAGAGCAATGTAGAAATACTTTATTGTCTGCTTGTATGAATATATGAATGAAATATAAAATATATTAGCTTGTTGTCTAAGGAGAATTACACCAAATGATAACAGACAGGGGTTGGACTGATGCCCATGCACTCTGTTACTTGAGTTTAGATAGATAGATAGATAGATAGATAGATAGATAGATAGATAGATAGTATTGATTCCAGAGTTATGCTATCCTACACCTGACCAGTAGAAAATGGCTTTCCCCAATCTTGCTATTGTTGTTCATATTGCAGCCATTGTTGTCCCAAGTGTCTTCATTCATTTCCATTTCACCATTCTTTTCAGCTGCTCTGCTGCCTGGGAATCACATTACATACAAACATGTAAAATCAGTTTTATAAATAACTGAAAACAGATTTACAGTATAAAATGCATATGGGTATGTTGAGGCAGATAGGAAGGGGGCTCGTCGTACCTTAATGTGAAAATGGTGCTGTTGTTAGTCAGTGGTATTGTGCTATATGGTGGTATTGTTGGTAGTTACTGGTATTGTGCTATATGGTGGTATTGTTGATACTGTATATGGTGGTATTGTTGGTAGTTACTGGTATTGTGCTATATGGTGGTATTGTTGATACTGTATATGGTGGTATTGTTGGTA